ACTCAAGAAAAACGGAAGAGTAAGAATCTGCGGAGACTTTAAGCTCACAGTTAATCCCCAGCTTGCAGTGGACCAGTACCCGTTACCCAGGATAGAAGATGTGTTCACATCGTTAGCAGATGGAGAAAAGTTCACAAAGATCGATTTGAGACAAACCTACTTACACATGGAGATGGAAGAAAAACCCAAAGAAGTATTTAACTGTGAATACGCACAAGGGTCTATACTAGTTCAACCGGATGTTCTTTGGAATCGCGTCTGCACCAGTAATATGGCAGAGGACTATGGAACAGATTCTGCAAGGAATACCATCAGTCCAATGCATCCTAGATGACATGATAATAACTGGTAAGGACAATACCGAACATTTTAACAATCTGGAWAGTGTGTTGAGCCGTCTGCAACAGTACCAACTCAAGGTCAACCTAGACAAATGCCAGTTCTTCCAAGATRAGATCGAATACTGTGGACACAAGATAGACAAGCACGGCATACACAAGACAGAAAAGAAGATTAAAGCAGTGCGTGATACTCCAGGACCCAAGAACGTAACTCAGCTTCGCGCATTCATTGGCCTCGTAAATTATTACCACAGATTCCTACCAGACCTAGCCTCGGTAATGAGACCACTCCACCAGCTACTGGAACAAGGTAAAGCATGGCAGTAGACGAAAGTAGGCTATACTTACGACATAGAGTATAGGAACACTAAGCGACACACTAACGCTCACGCCCTTTCAAGACTACCGTTCGAAGTAACCCCAGAGGATCAAAAGGAAGAACCTGTTGACATTTTTCACTTAAGTCAGTTTGAACAGTTACCAGTGACAAGTGCAACAATCAGACGAGAGATAACAAGAGACAAGATCTTAAGTAGAGTCTGTGAACAGACCATGTCTGGATGGTCAACTAAGCCAGACGACAAGGTACTACTGGCGTACTACAATCGTCGAGATGAAATCACAACGTATCAGGGATGTCTCATGTGGGGAATACGAGTAATCATTCCAGACACCCTGAGGAAACAAGTACTAGAGGTCATCCATTCAACACACCTAGGCGTAGTGAAAATGAAAGCCCTCGCTAGAAGTCACATCTGGTGGCCAGGAATCGACTCCGAAATTGAACAGATAACCAAAACCTGCTCTGGTTGTAACAAAGTAGGAAACAACCCAACAAAGGTCCACCCGTGGGAACTCATCCATATCGATTTTGCTGGACCATTTATGAACAAACAGTTTTTGATTATAGTCGACGCACACTCTAAATGGCCAGAGGTGTTTCCAATGAACAAGATCACAGCAACAAGCACTATTGAGGTATTCGCAAGAAAAGGCGTACCACAGCAGCTCGTTTCCGACAACGGACCGCAATTCATGTCAGAGGAATTTCAAGCATTCATGAAGAGCAATGGAATTCACCATTTTAGATCAGCACCGTTCCATCCTGCAASGAATGGACAAGCAGAAAGATTCGTGCAAACCTTCAAACAGAGTATGAAGGCAATGAAATCAGAATTAGCCTCTTTAAACAAGAAGATAGCAAATTTCCTACTGATGTACCGCAACACACCTCATGCTACCACTAACAAAACACCTGCCAAAATGTTCCTTAGTCGAAACATACGTTCCCGTCTGGATTTGAAGAAGCCAGATGTAAAAAGCACAGTGCAGCAGAAACAAATGAAGAAAGCACTCGAGAAGAAGACACCTATACGCTTGTTTGATAATGGACAGCCAGTGACAGTTCGAGACTACAGAGRACAAGACAAGTGGGTTAATGGAACCATCAACACACAACTAGAACCATTGATGTATGAAGTCAAAACAGAAGCTGGAAGTTATTGGAGAAGGCACACAGACCAAATCCAAGAAAGGAAGCATGATGAAAATCATAGCGACCCTCAACCAAGACCAGCAAAAGATGTCTGCCCA